TGTGCATATATGTGTGTGTGTGTCCATGTTCTTTTGGTGTTTATGTGCGTGTCTGCAAATGTGCTGGCAGTGGAAACTCAAATTCAGAGTGTGTGTTTTGGCTGCAGGATGGAAACACATGGGAGTGTTCACTGTTCTGCACTGGAAATACATGAAGACTGTCTTTCCTTTTCAATCTGGAGGCTTATAAACATATTCCCACAAGAACACAGGAGTCAGGAGCCAGTCACTTCTATCTCTCTCTCTCTCTCTGATCTGCCCTCTCTTTCATTTCCACCCTCTTTGCAACACCCTCATCTTGTTGCTCCTCTTGTCCTCTGAAGTCCTCCTTTGCGCTTTCAACTTCTCAATCTGTCTCTCCAGGTGCCCCCGTATACTGTAATCATAACCATCAGAAGCCATTCTGCCCTGTCATCCTGGGTAGGGGGAGGTGAGTGTCTTTGTGTATAATGGGAGGAAGACGAGGAAGGTTGCTAATCCCACCAACTCACTCAAACACAAGGGCAGCCAGGCAGTCATAACCACCACCACCACCAGGACGGGGTAACTGGTTTCTGACTGCAGGCAAACTGGCTTCCGAGCTCCACTGGCTGTGCTGCCAAGTTGCATGCAGTGGCCTTTCACAGCTCCAGTCACGCAGAACAGAACTTGTGAAGCAGCTGACGCAGAAGGTCTTCATTTCTAGTGATGTGGTGAAGAAAAATTAGGCAGAGCCTGACCTCCTGTTGGCCATCACCATAAAGGAAATGTAGCCCTGAGGTCACTTTGGAAAATGTATTAGGAAATGATTAGGTATTTTCCATTTAAATACTTACACGACTTTCGGGCATTTTCCCATGACCTTCTTTTTTATGATCTAATTTTGGTGCCACTTGCTATGCAGGCTGTGCTAAATTGATTGCAGTGTGATACAGTAGGAAAAACAAGTTGATGACAAAACAAAACTATGCAATTTTCCACTTCTAAAAAGAAAGAAAAAGCCAACAGCCTCAAACTGGGACTGACGAAAGTCTTTGTCTCCATTCAGTTGAAAACAGCTGCGGGGGCAGCCAAGATCTCCTCGGAGAACTGGGGAGATCGAAAGCTGCGACCGCCCAGCTTCCCGGCACCGACAGACGGTCATGGGACGGCGGGGCCCGCCGCCAGCTGGCCGGAGAGAGCATCTTTGATGTGTGACGCACCGGGGAGACGCCTGCACCAGGCCGACTCAAACTGGAGGAAATATAAAAACACAGTCTCATTCCTCTGCAATGTGAGCTTATTTATAACTTACTGTTGTTTGTGGTGGAAACCGCAGATATATTACCATCATTAAAAACGATTGCAATAACTTTTCAGAGTCATGACAGGAATATTGGCATCATGTGATATTAAATGTGCCACAGAAATCCGAATCCCTAAATAGACACATTCTAGTGATGTAACATTGAAAAACATCATGAAAACGGTCTATCTACTCTGTTTGAATACTCTGCTCTGAGATGTTTGCTTTTTCCCATTAGGGTCTTTCTAAAAAGGTGTTATAATCCCTGTTATCATCTTGAGATTGCTTTGAGACTCAGCTCACTGAACAGGTGTAGGCGCAGGTGGATGTATGAGATGCAACTTCAAGCCGTTATATGTGAGCTCGGATTTACTCGGGCTTTAGGACCGCGGGATGAGCTGGATGAGGGGCAAGGTCTGCGCACCTCCACCATGTAGAAGTTGTGGGTTTGTCTTGAACCTGCCTTGTGTGTCACTCGTATCCCAGGTCTGGTGCTCCATGGATGCAGCGCTACACTTCAGAAGACTGATGGGCCATTTATTTTACTTTTTCTACTTTTTGGATTATCCCCGTAGAGTCTCATTATCACTTTGGTGAAATGCAAGCGACTTCAAAGTTGAGTCAAAGCTCAGATATGGGGAAGTCAAGACACCGCTGGGCTAACTTCTGAGCGGCCGAACTACTCTTCATCATGAGGCTGTGGGGCAGAGCTACAGCTGTCCGGACGAGGATGCTCTGCCTCTGGCTGCTGGTCCTCGGGTTCGCCCTGCTTACTCTGGCGCTCTCGGACCTTTTTAACCGGAACCGGGACCAAAGTCATCAGAAACCTGCCCCTCCCCGACGCCCCCTCCAGCGGATTCCCAGCGCACCGGACCTGGAGGTCATCGTGGACTACCGCGACCCTGCATTGGAGCTCGGGGTCGATGTCGCCCCCCTAAAATCTTTGCAAGAAGACCAGCTTTTATTCGTGCCATCGACGCAGGGCACCAAAAACCCACCGCAGAAGAAGGGGAGTTACAAGGTGCTGCTGCCCGGAGCAAATAAGGACACCCGCGTCACTCCGCCTCCAACGCACGGGGAATTGGGCAAAGCAGTGCGTCTACACTTGGCGGGAACAGAGAAGGACATGGAGCTTTCTGCGGTACAGAAGTACGGTTTCAACGAGGTGGTCAGTGAGAAGATTTCACTGCATCGCAGGCTGCCCGAGGCGCGCCATCCTGAGTGAGTGCGCACGACTGAAAAGATAAACGAAAACTTTTGCGATTAAATGACCCCACTGTGGCATTTAAAGACGTTCAAGTTGTGACTGTAACAATGTGAACTTGTTTCCCCACATAACAGGTGTTTGAAGGAGCAGTACAGCGAGTCGCTGCCGTCGGCCAGTGTTGTAATCTGTTTCCATGACGAGGCCTGGTCCACGCTCTTGCGCACCGTGCACAGCGTGCTGGATACTGCACCAAGACAGTACCTGCAGGAGGTTCTGCTGGTGGACGACCTGAGCCAGCACGGCGAGTCTCTCTATCTGTCCACATCCATCTTTCCACTCGACCTGTGCATGACCACAGTGTCTCTCTGTCTCTTTCTGTTCACTTCACAGGTCACCTGAAGAGTGTGTTGAGTGAGTATGTGTCTCATCTGGATGGGGTGCGCTTGATTCGCAGCACTAGGCGCTTGGGCGTCGGAGGGTGCCGAGCTCTGGGTGCTGCCAGAGCTGCAGGGGAAGTGCTGGTGTTCATGGACTCTCACTGTGAATGCCAGAAGGGCTGGCTGGAACCATTGCTGGAGAGAGTGGCCCAGGACAGGTACTATTTAATTATCTACAAGAATAATGAACAGCAGTTCAAAATCATTGTTATTCCATTACACCCTTCCTCTACACACACACACACACCAGAGTTTTGTAATGAATAAGCATTAAGATCTATATGAATGTTTAGTCTGGAAGAAAACCCTGACCAGCAGCTGTGCCCAAAACTGTCTCTTTGCTTGTTTCTCTATTGTGTTCTGCTGTTTGACAGAACCACTTGAGAGAAGTGAGAAGATAGGGGGTTCAGAGTTATCAGTTGTCCTTACTCATTAGTAAGGCAGGAGATACATGCGCTGTGTGTGTATCCAAAGCTCAACTCTCATGATCTGGCTCTAGTCTTGTGTCTCAGGCTGCCTGCAGCGTGGCTCTAATTAGACTAGGTAATTAGGCTGAACTCCCAGACCTGGAATCTGCAACCACTCAACTCTCTCAGCCACATGTTTGACCCTTCTCCCATTTCTTACTCTCTTTCTCCTACTTTAATCTCTTCATTCCATTTCCCCTGAGCATCATATCACACTTGGCCTCTTGGCAAAAATATTTCAAATAACATATGTGAACCAGAACAGACCCCAGGAAAGGACAGTGCGTGTAAACTTGGCCTCTGTGACATGAGCTTGAAACACACGCAGGAATAGACATACATTTTTCCAGCAGCGAGGAGTGAAAATATAGCCAAGGAAGTCTGGTTAATAATTTTAAATGTCAGTGTTCTTCCAAATCTTTGACAGTAGTATACTTCTCATTCATAACATCAGCCTCACTTTGAATCACCCTACTTGATGAAAGTCAATGAAAAAAGACGCATTTTAATATAAAATCATGAATCTGGTGTCTGGTGTGCAGGACCAGAGTGGTGTCCCCCATCATGGATGCGATAGACTGGCAGACCTTTCAGTACAATGCCACCCAGTGGCCAGTTAGAGGAGTGTTCGACTGGAGACTTGACTTCCACTGGGAATCTAACCCTCAGGTGCAAGATAAGGACCCAGACTCGGCTGTTCAACCTCTACGGTGAGTTCACAGCTGCTGTAAGTTGGGCTTTCATGAGTTTATAGCTAAAAAAAGTTGAGTTTTTAATTTAGGTAATGTTGAGGTGCAGAGCTGATATTCAGCATTTTGAAAAGTGAAGAAAATAAAAGAGATGTATGAAGTGTAAATGAAAAACTGCACACAGTATGGTGTCTTTCTCTAGGCCAGTAGTTCCTTTCTTGAGGTTAAGGAGTTGCAAGATAGACTCAAGATGATAAACAAGTTAGAAAAGATTAAAAACCCCAACAAGAACGTTATATTAACATCATTAAATGTGTCTATTTTTTGAGACATTTTCTCTTACCTACAACCCAAAAAGGTAAAAATCAAGTCGCAAGTTGGCTTTGATTTGTTTTAAATGATCAATAAACAAAAAAGTAAGGGACCATTGCTGTTGGTTGTGTGCTGTGATCCTTTTGTCCTTGCTAACTACGACTGTAATTCTCTGAAGTTTGTCTCTCTGCTCCAGTGACACGAGGACAAATTCCTTTGTTTGTTCTTGGCGAGTAAAGTGATGTTGATTCTGTCTGTGACAGAAGTCCAGCATTAGGAGGCGGAGTTGTGGCCATCGACCGACATTTTTTCCAGAGTGTGGGAGCCTACGACCCGGGGATGCTGCTGTGGGGGCAGGAGCAAATTGAGCTGTCAATCAGGGTAAAGCAAACATTTTTTATGATTAACTTTCCATTCCAAAAATAAAACTCTTCAAAAATTCACCTGCTCACACAGGACAGTGAGATGACAGATTGTCTTCGTTTTCATCTTAAGACATGTAAGCTTTTTTAAGCGATGCTCTGCCTGAGGGATTCAGCTGCCTTCTGTCAGGGCCTCAGGAATGTTGCGCTGGGAAATGATGCCTTTTGCAAATGGAAATCTCAGGTTGAATAGTGGTCTGGGAATGTCTGGGCCAGTAGACAAATGCATAAGCATGAGAGGAAAATGTTACTTGACCACTTGTTTTCCTATGATGACCATTAAAAATGCATATTGTTGATTTGTAGCATGTTTTGTGAAAGATTAAAATGACAAATGGTGCAGTTTGTAGAACTAAAAATCAATTTGCAACTTGCATAACAAAAAAGTATCTGTAAACCAACATGCAATATAGTATTGTGGTATAATACTTCACTATAATATTATTTAAAACATAATCAAAACACTTAATAAACTTTTCCGCTTATCCTAGGTGTGGTCATGCGGCGGCTCCATGGAGGTGGTTCCCTGCTCCCGTGTAGCCCACCTAGACCGCCACCACCTGCCTTACCGCTTCCCAGACCAAGAGCTGCTTCAGAGGAACAAAATCCGGATAGCAGACACCTGGATGGACGCATACAGGAAGATCTTCTATAGGAGAGACACACTTGCTCATTTCATCAGGCAGGTGTGTGTGTTTGGTTTGGGTTTTGGTCAGAAGATTGGTGGTTGGTGAGTGTACAACCCCCCCCCAAAAAAAAAGAAAAAAAAAATTCCATTTCTGCTCCCAGCGACATGTTTGCACTAAACTTTCTGCTGTTATTGTGCATGGCAGGCCGAGCTGAGGTGGGGTCAGTGTGCGAGACTACTGTAGATGTGTAGCCTTACTGTAGGTGTTTATTCAGCAGTGTATTTAGATGTGCATGCTCCTCTCTCTCCCTCTCTCTGAGTTTGTCTGCTTTAGGCCAGCTCCGTGCTCGTGGTGTCTGTGTTGCGACGTAGCCGGCTAGTCATGTTTTTATTTTATTGTGATGTGTAGAGGAATGCAAACTTAACTCTCACCTGCTCGCCAGGTGACCTCATTGCTTCTCAGTGGGTGTGGCTCTTCGACATAGTCCTCAGATCTTGTTTTATTTTGCCCCTCCCCCTACCACTGCCCCCCCACCCACCTTCACCAACTCAAACCCACTCTCACCCACACCCACCACTGACCCTCCCACCTCTTCAAAACACCCTCTACAACATATTATGGGACCCCCGCTCCTCCCCTTTTCCACCCCCCCTTTCTCCCCCAACTCGGGCCCCATTGAAGCACCAGCAACTGTAGACTGCATTTGTCATATCACTGTTTTTCTGTTCCTTCTTCTCGTTCTCTGTTGATTTTTTTCCTGGTTTTGATTTGTACTGTATGCTCTGTCTAACCTAGACCAGTTTTAACAAAATGCCATTTCTGTGTGTAGCCTGTTTACCCGTCCCACACACACACACATACACACACACTCTCTTCCATGCCCTCTTTTTTGCACTTTCACTGCCCACTCCTCCTCCTTGCCCAAACATACACACACTTTCCTCCTCCGCCTCCCACGAGTCTCTTCTCTCGAGTGCCAAAATAGAACAGAGAGGAAAAACACAAAAAAAAACAAAAAAAAAAGACAACAACAACAACAACTACCATTCCAAGCGTTTCTTTGAGTTGTTCTTGTGTGTCGGACATCCATCCTGGAAGCACCCATGAAGCCAGCATGCTCCGCCCTCATAACATGATGTCGCTCATGACGCCTCAACTGAACAGCACCTTGCCCCCCACCACCACCACTCCTCCTCCTCC